TCAAGGGGTTAAAGAAAACACATAATTTACTATGAAAACGTAAAAAAATTATTAGAATTTGTTATGAATGAATTATTTTATTATTATAAAATTGATAGAAACAATTATTAATAAGAAATATTAAATAAAAAATTATTTTAAAGTTCACCTGGCAAATAACTTATTTTTACAAATTTCATTCGCTAAATGTGAGAAAGAGAAATCATTAATAAAACCTTATGAAATATAAAGAAACTTTTAATAACTTTTAGTTTTTCTTATCACTTTCTTCCTTTTCTTCTTCACAAATGTTAAAAAATAAGCAATTAAAACTGGCACTTTGCTTACATTCACGATTTTAAAAAGTAAATAACTTCTGCCCAGAAAAATGAAAAATTACGAAAATTGGTCAATACCTAATAATACGATGCTTATTTTACAATAAATATGAAACATATTTAAAAAATTCTTTTTGTTCGATGATCTTAATATCTTTAAAATCATTCCTGCAAAACAATATAATTTTTTAAAATTAGTCGGCAACGACTTTAGTGAAAATATAATGGCCCAGATAGCACGCAAGCTTGCTGCAAACTTGCACTGCAATCTTGCAAAACTTGCAGTGCAAGTTTGCAGCAAGCTTGCGTGCTATCTGGAGGAATGGTTCCTATGCATATTATATAAATTAATAAAATATAAATTTTAAATTATTAAATAATTTAATTTTAAAAATTTCTACAAGTTATCATTAAAGTAATTTTCATAAATTCATAAATTTTATTGATTTAATGTAATATGAGATTATTTGAGGGGCTGATAGTAAAAGTGGTTTAAAAAAACAGTGGGAGAAAAAGTGGGATAAGTGACTTGGTAGCAAAAATGGTTTAAAACAATTAAAATATTTATCAATAAGTTTATTACACGAATGACTTGCAAAATATTAAAGTTTTTCTTTACTATTTTAAATATTTTTTCATCATTAATTATAATTAATTTATCCATAAATTGCAAAATCATTTTAGCCCGTATTTGCTCCCAAGTCACTTATCCCACTTTTGCTCCTAATTACCACTTTTACTATCAACCCCTCATTTCAAAGTATTACATTTATGCCCTCACGCGTGCTACAAAATTAGCACGAGCGACAGCAAAATGTGTCTCATTGAACAAGCACGGTGTGACTCGTACGTCATGTGCCTAAAGTGCAACAAAATCACACGGAGAAACTTTTAATACCACTAATTCTTAAAACTGGTGAGACATTTTAGTATGTTAGGTTAGATTCAAGGGAAAAACGACATAGGTTATAGAAATTGCTATTGAGACTATCAAAAACACTCATTCAGTATATATTTTACAGTTCTTCATAAGGAAACTAACGAAAATTAGTATGTTGTTTTAGAAAGAAAATAATAATTTTTGCAAAGTTGGGAAAGCCATGAATTAAAAAGAAACACAACAAATTAATTGTCTATAGATACTCATAGAGACGATAGTGATACTTGGATCTGATGGTAGATGGCATTAGTGAATGTCACTGTAACTGTAGGTAAATATATTTAACACGACGTAAGAACCTAACCTATATTAATAACGCACACACACACGCAAGTAAAGACACGACGATTGGTCACGGAAACGGGAAACCGAAAGATCGCACGATTCGTTAGAAGTACACAGCTGAATCGTCCTTATATATTAAACGAGTGGAAAAATATGTACCTTCGAGAGAGAGCATTTTTTTAAATAACTTTCTAATCAAATTATGTAAATAAGTAAAAGTCGTGAAAAAAATTATGTTATATTGAGGAACAGTTCTTGAATTTAATTTGGCATGAGGAGACATTCACGTTTATTAATAAAAGGTTTTTTCTTTCATACACGTGTGAATTTCAACTTCTTCTTCTTTAGAATTTCAACTTCGAAAACATTAGGGTTAGTTCGCGACGTCAGGTGATGGACTCGGTGATGCTCGGGCGAAATCGGTTAAGTCCGCCCGCAGTCCTTCCAAAATTGGTATGTTACGTTAGAATGTCTGTTATATATTCTATCTATATGTGGAAAAAAGGTTAGAATTACCGTATTATTTCACAAACAAAAACTAGCATTTTATTCTTTTCTAAAGAAAAATAAGACTATTTCTAATGCAGATAGTAATTTTTGTACACCGAAGGTTGCTTAATATATAACGAATTTATCATATTTTCGTATTAATGTTGAAATTATTAGCACAACGCACGAAAAATCCTCACATTCTAACGTACTTTTAGAATAAACATAACCAAATATATTTAATATTATAAGAAAAAGTTTCTCCGTGCAGAACGAGTGACAGCTAAATGCGTTTCATTATGCACGCACCGCGTGACTCGCATGTCCTGCGCCCGAAGTGCCACCAAGTGCGACGCATAATTGTTGTCTGGGATATGAATAACTTTTTATAAATATCGTAAAAGTGATTGAATTTTAGGTCAATCAATGAATTTTTAAATACCCTACAAAATAGTTACAATAATTTAATAGTTAAACAAAAATTTTCAAACAAAAAAGTTGAGAAAAAATAATTTTCCACAATTTTTGGTTTTTAAAATACCAATAATTTCGAAATTTATTATCGAATTGGGTTCAAAAAAAGGTCAATCGAAGCGTTTTTTAATATTCTACAAGTTGATAATGATAATTTTAAAGTTACTTCTACGTTTTTCAACAGAATTTTCAAAAAAGTCTTATTTTCCAAAATTTTTGATTTTTAAAAGTTTAATAACTCCGGTAAATATGGACGAAAAATGTTCAATTAGGGCTCAAAAGATGCGTCTAAAAAAACTCTACAAAATTATGGAAAAACATTTATAGGTGCCTTATCATTTTTTTAAAGTTATGGGCAAAAAACTTTTTTTTGCAAAATTAAAAATAAAAAAAAATTTAGTTAAACTTTATTAATATATCAGAAAGTACTCTCACTTTATGTCCGCAGGTGAGATCTACAATTTAAAAAAAAATTCAACCCAAAAGCTCTTTAAGATTTCTAGATATTTATGAAAATGTGATGTTTACACACACACACATACGGAATGACATTTTTTAAAAATGTCATTTTTGAACTCCTGAGGTCAAATAACATAAAGATATGTCAAAAAATCGAATTCGAAAAATTTTGGTATTACAATACTTCCTCTATGAGGAAGTAATAAATAAAATTAAAATAATAAGGGCCGGTTCCACAACTTCGACTTTAAACCGAGTTTACTTAAACCAAGTTCATTTTTAACCAGAGCGTTAACCGCGAGTTAACGAGTCATGCGTTCCACAACAGGTTTTTTGAGCGTCGTTTAACTAAACGTATACCTCCTTCGTCGTAATTCTATTTTCCCTCACATTTCTACTGTAGCAGACGTTTTCATTGGTCGAAGTAAAAAGCGGAACATTGACACATGTTTCGAAAATGAAAAGCGTTGACACATGTTGGAATCTTTCTGAATTGTTTGTGTTAAAAGTGCGTTAATAGTTTTAAACGTTTTAAAAATGTCTGGAGAAAGGAAAAGAGGAGCAAATTATAGTGAAGTGGAAAAAGGAAATTTAGTTAATTTAATACAAGAAAATCAACATATTATAGAAAATAGAAGTACGGATGCTGTATCTGTAAAAACCAAAGAAGCTTGCTGGAAGCAAATAGCAGCAACTTATAATAGCAATAATATATCTAATTATAGGACGGTTGATTCTTTAAGGACATGTTGGAAGAATTGTAAAAAGAAAAGCAAAAAATATTTTGCTGAAATTAGAAAAGGACGTTTCCTCACAGGTAATTATTTTTATTTATAATTATAATACTGTCTATAAGAACATTATGTTAACAAAAGGTAATTTAAAACATGCGTAAAGAATGTTTATTAATAGCGCTTATGAAATAAAAATTCTAATATAAGCAAGATTTTTATTCAATAAAGAAGTATATGTTAAAAAAAACTTAAATTATTTATCTGGTTTACATTAGAAATTATTTTGAACTGTACTTATACGATTGGTTTTAAATTAGTTTTATGAACTAATTACGTTATTTAAAATAGTTTCGATTGTATGTAATATAATTAAACATCAATTGTTATTAACACTTTAAAGTTTTACTTTTGTATTAATAAACTATATTTTATTTTGAATTAGGTGCACGGAGAGAAATCTGCTGCTAATATTACTCGAAAGAGCACATAACTTAAATTGCTTAACGTTTCTCTTATATTTTTAGCATGGATTCATATACTTATTGTAAAAATACTTTCAATGCAATAAGCATAAGAGACAGTAGCTAATTTTGCACGAAATCTTTATTATAAATACAAAGAGAACGTGCTATAAAAGTATTAGATTCTTCTTATAAGAATCGCTCGAACTCCGACTGATTTTCAGGCGGACTTTATACAACACAATCTTACCTGTGTATACGCACATATAACTCACACACACATATATTTCTCTGGACAGTTTTGTCGTCCTGTAAAACATTATATATTATATGTAGTATTTAATACTTGTTGCTGTTATAAAAAGATAATATTTATTTAATAGTAAGTATATTATTTAAAAATTATTGCATTTTTATTCGTGTTTGAATATATAAGCAACATGTGAAAATTGTTAGGTTATGTTATTGCAAACGTCACCGCTTTGTACGCGTTCCGTTCCTCGAAACCATCCAGAGAAATATATGTGTGTGTGAGTTATATGTGCGTACACGCAAGTAAGATTGTGTTGTATAAAGTCCGCCTGAAAATCAGTCGGAGTTCGAGCGATTCTTATAAGAAGAATCTAATACTTTTATAGCACGTTCTCTTTATATTTATAATAAAGATTTCGTGCAAAATTAGCAGCTGCTTTTTGTTTTTATTGCATCGAACTCTCCATTACATTAAATAGATGATTTCGTATATAAATTATTATAACCTCAAGCTAAAATTCTATTCAGCAGTGACTAATAAAATTTGTAAAGATTCTGCAAGCAATAATAGCAACAGATTTCTCTCCGTGTGGAGGACAAATTGAAATAAATGAAGATCCATTAGCTGAACGCGTAAAAGCGTTAATGGAGACTTCTGTGAGTGGACTTGCGAATCCTTTTGATTCCGATGAAATTGTTATCGATGAATTTGAAAGTAAGCATTACCAGGAACATTTAGTAGAGGATCAAAATGGAGATAAATGCATACTGATAGGGGTAATTTCCTTTTTTTCAATTTATTTTTTTTTACTTAAAATGTGAAAATTTGAAAAATAATAATGTTTGTAGGTTCTTGATAAAGCTGTGGACATGCCAAATAATGTCAAGCAAGATTCATCTGAATGTATTGACATGACAAGTAATGTCAACCAAGATTTGTCTGAATGTATTGACATGACAAGTAATGTCAACCAAGATTTGTCAGAATGTGTAGACATGACTAACAATGAAAACCAAGATTGGTCGGAATGGAACCCAAACTTGCTAAGGCAGAAGAAAAGTTCGGCATTGGAAGTAAAAACTGCCCCTATTGAAAAAAGGAACCAACTGTAAAGCAACGATGTAAGCCGAAGCAACAAAGAATCAAAGGAAGTGCTGCTACCAGAAATAATTCCCTAACAATTTTGTCAAAATCTAAGCATGAGTTAGTGGAAATTTTTAAAGCAGAAGCCTCCACAAAATCAGCAATAGAAATAGAAATACTTCACACTCGATTAGAGAAAGAAAAAATTGAAGTGGAAGCTGCGAAAAAAAAACTGGAGATCTATGAAGAAGTTTTAAAAGGAAATTTATCCTATCCAATCTTTTGACAGAAATTTAAAAAAGTGTAATAAAAGTTAATTGTGTTTAAGAGTTTATTGTAGTTAAGAAAGTTAATTTTTATATTTTTATAACATTTTTCATGTTTTTAATAATTTCTAATGTATTACGATGTTTAAAGTTTAAACAAATTTTTTAATTTCAAAGTTTATGCCTTTTTAAATATTAATGTAATTAGAAAAAACTTTAATTTAGTAGTTGTAAAGAATTTATGATCTCCGTCTTTATTATTAGGAATCAACTTTAATATATATATATATATATATATATATATATATATATATATATATATATATATATATATACTAGCTGTCGTACCCGTCTTCGACGGGTTGTAGTTTCTGATAATGCACTTAACAGTGTATCTACCAACCTAGAAAACCGGAAAATAGCCGGGAATTTGATTTGACAGGGAAAAAATAATAATTAGTTACTATTGTCTATTTCATTAGGAAAATAATACCATTTGAAACAGTGACCGACTTTTTATTATCAAATTAGTTATTTTTAACTAATTCAAATGCAGAAAACAATATTTCTCAATTTGTAGTACTTCAATCAATATAATGTATTAAAATCAATCTAAAATTTCCTCCAGTTTTTTGAGTTATAGTACAGTCTAATTCGAACTAATTGTATAGCAAGTAGATCCAGTTTTTCTCGGTTACATTAAATTCCCTGATATTTTACGTCTTTTCTGGTTGGTAGACACCCTGTTAAATGTATTATTAAAAAACACGCGTCGAATAAACCAGGAAAAATTTGGACAAAGCCGGAAAATGTTTTAAACCAAAATAAACACCGTGATAAACTTTTGTCTTTACATTGATCAAGATATCTCTAAAAGTTAAATCAGAGAGCCCACAAATACTATTGAATTAAGCTTCATAGCAATTGGTATCAAGATAATTTTTTCAATTTTTTGATATTCAAAACATTTTTATACTTACATCTTCGTTATAAGAAAGTATTTTTGAAAAATTATGCTAAAATGTGACTAAATAATATGTAATATTCAATTATATAAAGTTTAAAAGCTATCCATTGAAAAATGTAAAATTTAGAAATTTTCGATTTTTTAAAAATATTTTTATATTTCCATTTTAGTTACAAAGTATTATTTTTTGCAAAATTATGCTAAAATGTTAATAAATAACATGTAATACTCAACTATAGAAAGTTTAGAAGCAATCCATAAAAAAATATAAAATTTAGAAATTATTTGTGTTAAATAAATTCATTTATTAGAGTCAAGTATTTATTTAATTAATCCAATTAAGATTTATTTGATTTAACTAAATAAAATTATTTAAACGAAATAAATTTTTATTAGATCGAAATAAAAACTTTTAAATAAGATATTATATTACTATTAGGTATTAACGTAACTTACAATCATAGCCTTATCCGATTAAAAAATATTAACTTGAACGAAAGTTATGACATTTTTCCAAAAAATTCGAAAAATCAAAAAAATGCAAATTTTTTATCTTTTGTAAAATAAATGCAAAACTATCATTAGCTAACTTTTTCAGATAAATAAAACCCATTTCTACAATAAAATTTTTAAAAAAGACGTATTTGAAATTTTTTTTCGTTTTTTTAGATTAACTCTTTTCTAAGAAAATAGTGATTTTTAATCTTTAAGCAAGCTTTTCAGGAAAAGTTATTAAAGTTTTTTATTTAAAGATCAGTATGTTAAGTAAGAAATTTGCTACATTAAACCAAAATAATTAAGCTAAATGCCATAAAAAAGAAGAAAAAATGTTAAATTTTAAGAAATTCGGATTTTTGAATTTTTGCTAATTTTCCATAATTTTAGATTTTTTACCGAAGGGTGGAGACTATTGAATAAGTAAAGTATTTTTAAGAGCACAAAAATAATAAAGCTAAATGCCATAAAAAGAAGGAAAAATGTTGAATTTTAAGAAATTCATTTTTTTGCATTTTTGCTATTTTTCCATAATTTTAGATTTTTTACCAAAGGGTGGAGATAACAAATTAGGTTAAGTATTTTTGAAGAGCCCAAAAATAATGAAGCCAAAAGCCATAAAAGAGAAGAAAAAATGTTGAATTTTAAGAAATTCCGTTTTTTGAATTTTTGCTAATTTTCCATAATTTTAGATTTTTTACCAAAGGGTGGAGACTATTAAATATAAGTAAAGTATTTTTGAAGAGTACAAAAATAATGAAGCTTAATGATATAAAAGAGAAGAAAAAAATGTTAAATTTTAAGAAATTCGGTTTCTCGAATTTTTGATAATTTTTGATTTTTTGCTAAAGGGTGGAGACTATTCAAATAGTATAATTATACTACCGAAATAGCTAATGGTTACTAATTATTAATTTTCCGGTGAAATTAAATTCCCGGGTATTTTTGATTTTCCAGATTGGTAGAAACATTGTTAAATGTATTGGTAGAAACTAAAACCCGTCGAAGACGGGTACAACAGCTAGTGCTATATATTATCAAAATTTTTAAAATTCAAAATTAATCTTTTGAAATAATTATTGTCATCAATTTTACTTAAATTTGATACAGGGTTAATTTTAGTATTTTTTATTACAATTTAGTCATCAGAATGAAATTTGAGTTTTTCATTTTTTGATCATTAATTAATATAATATAATAGCAATTTTGAATTCTGTGCAATATACTGACAAAAGTCTCATATTAATTATATGGATATTGTTAATATTCTGACCTAATAGAATTTTTTTAAGAAAGTAAACTTATGATTTCAACAACAAATTTTTATTGTTGACCTAAGAAATACAACCGTATAAAAATTAATTACAAAAAAATTTCAATTTTTAATTTTTTAATTTTTCAATATTTAAATCTAACACTTTTTATTTGTTATTCAAAATTTTATTATTCTGACGATTAAATCTTAATAAGAAACACTAAAATTAACCCTGTACCAAGTTTAAGTACAATTCACTAAAGTATATGAAAAAACTAAAAATTTCGAATTTTTGAAAAAATGGCATAACTTTCGTCCATATTAATATTTTTTAATCTACTATCGCTAGGATTTTAAGTTAGGCTAATGCCTAAAAGACTGCCAAGTTTCACTTCAAACGATCGAACCTTTTTTCCGTGATACGCGGTCGAAAATTTGCGGACATACATACACACATACACACATACACACATACACACATACACACATACACACATATACACATACACACATAATTTTCTTAATAGTATTTTCGCATTCCTTAGAGTGTAAAAATAAGGAATATAATAGAAATTTTGAATTCTATGCAATGTACAGACAAAAGTCTGATTTTATTAATAAGGATATATATATATACCCACACAGCACATGTTATTTTCAAAATATTCCCTGAATATTTCACTGAAAGATTGAAATATTTCAGTGCAAGGTTCTTGAAATATTGCTGCAAATTTAAAATGTCCGCCTATATGATATGAGTCGTCGGATCTTATAACGACACATAAAATTTCCACAGGGGTTTGAGTTGGCCCCTGAAGGTTGAAAAATTAATTTAAAAAAAAAAATTTGTTTAAATTACTTCTGAATAGGAAATTTTATTGCGCATCTTTTTTCTTCTATAAAAATTTTTCGTATCTATTAAGGTTTTAGAAGAAAAAGCAAAAAACTAATTTTTTTATGAAATAACATTTCATTCATTTTTTCTCTTCAACTCGTTCTAAAATGAAAAGTTATTAATATTTTTTCATGAAATTCACGGGAGTTATAGTTTATGCTATCCTTTTGGTGAAAAAATATTAAAAATTATAAATTTTTGAATTTAAAAAACAATTATTAATAATTTCTTTAATCAATGTTCAATTAATGCTTGATAATTTTCAAACGCTTCGTTTATCCAGGAAATTTTTACGGAGAACAAACTTCCAGTGAATGAAATGTATATAGATATATAAATAAGTTTTCTATAAAGTTTGATTTCAATTCCATTATCCATTTACGAAATATTATCAATAATATTTTCGCGGCGCTACGAACGTAAACACAGTACTCTAAGGTTAACGCTTAGCACCACTCTATACTATAGTATCCTCGTTTGATAGATTAATTCCTTTTTCCATATATGTTTTATATTATTGAAAAAAATTTATTTAGAAAGATGTTAATACTTCATAATTGTGACATATTTATTTATAACAATATTAAATGTTTACAAGCTTTTATTTTAAACGATTATTTAAATCTAATGTAATAATTAATGTTATTTTATATTTATTTTAATAAATGTTTACATTTTATTCAGTAATCAAAACTTATTAAATTACTTTGCCTTTATAAAAAATATATCTTTTTTTATATTTTAAATAAAATACAAGTAATTTGTTAAAAATTATAATGAAAAAAGTAGTATATACGTTAACCTCAGAGTACTGTGTTTACGTTCGTAGCGCCGCGAAAATATTATTGATAATATTTCGTAAACGGCTAATGGAATTGAAATCAAACTTTATAGAAAACTTATTTATATATCTATAAACATTTCATTCACTGGAAGTTTGTTCTCCGTAAAAATTTCCTGGATAAACGAAGCGTTTGAAAATTATCAAGCATTAGTTGAACATTGATTAAAGAAATTATTAATAATTGTTTTTTAAATTCAAAAATTTATAATTTTTAATATTTTTCACCAAAAGGATAGCATAAACTATAACTCCTGTGAATTTCATGAAAAAATATTAATAACTTTTCATTTTAGAACGAGTTGAAGAGAAAAAATGAATGAAATGTTATTTCATAAAAAAATTAGTTTTTTGCGTTTTCTTCTAAAACCTTAATAGATACGAAAAATTTTTATCGAAGAAAAAAGATGCGCAATAAAATTTCCTATTCAGAAGTAATTTAAACAAATTTTTTTTTTTAAATTAATTTTTCAACTTTCAGGGGCCAACTCAAACCCCTGTGGAAATATTATGTGCCGTTATAAGATCCGACGACTCATATATTGACGCGAAAGTTTTAGAAAATATTTCATTGAAATATTTTCAGCTTTCTAGAATCCTATGGGTTTTAAAATATTTCACAAAATTCCTATTGATTTCAGGTGTTTAACAAATTTTTTTATTTTGTAAAATATTTTCAGAATATTGCAGAATCGTCATGTGTAATATTGCAGGAATATTTCAATGAAATATTTTCTAAACTTTCGCGTCAATATTTCATATAGGCGGACATTTTCAATTTGCAGCAATATTTCAAGAACCTTGCACTGAAATATTTCAATCTTTCAGTGAAATATTCAGGAAATATTTAGGAAATATCATATGTGCTGTGTGGGTATATTTTTATATAATTTGTTATTTGCATCTGGACTGAACCTGTTCAGAAATTTATTATTTTAAGAAGTGTAGTGGGACAAAATCTGAAATATTACAAAATATATTTTTTACAAATTGAAAATTTTCATAATTCATTCCTGTACATGTGTTATACTATAATAGATTTTTGAAGTCTGTTACATATAATTGCTTTATTTTTTGTATAGTTTTGCTAATTTCGATTGACACTTATTTATACTTAAAAGTATTATTATGCATAGGTAAAAATTATATTTTTCCATTTTTTATAAACAATCACAACAATCAAAAGAAATAAAAAATATACTAAAATTATGCCAAAAAAATTTATGTTGAATTTCAAAACAATGTACATTCCTGTACATGTGTAATAATCAATAATTCTTCTTCTTAATTCTTCCTTCCTCCAAGCTCTGTTCCAATGGCACAGGTAACATATTCACGTACGTCATCCTGTATTATTGCAGCAACCTAAAATTACAACAACAGTTTATTTATCTACCTGCTAATTAATATAAAAATAGAAAAATAAAATATTTTTACATACATTCTGAAGTATCCATTGATTAGTGATTGTTGAACTTGATTCCCTTGTAACCTGATATTTGGTCCATTATGTACCTCTGGCATTCTTCCTTCCTCCAAGATCTGTTCCCATGGCACAGGTAATTGTACTTGAGGATCATCTGGTGGTAATGGCTCTCCTGATTTTCGACAAATATTATGTAATACTGCAGTTGCAACTATCATTGCCATTATTGAATCCATTTTTTGAAATCTGGTTCCCAGAGCTAAAATGGGAAATCGCCTTTTCCATACACCAAAAGTTCTTTCAATGGTGTTTCGCGTTCTTATTAAAGATTCGTTATATAATTGTTCATTGCGTGTCCTTGGATTGAGAAGCGGTGTCATAATATATGAACGAAGTAGATAGCCACTATCCCCTATCAATAATCTGTCACCAAATGTACCAGCTTCAAACAAGGCTCGTATTCGTGAGTTGTTGAAAATAGTACTATCATGAGCTGATCCAGGCCATCGAGCTACAATGTCGATAAATTCCAAATCTTTATTACATACTGCTTGAACGTTCATAGAAAAGTATCCTTTACGATTTCTAAAAATTTCTGCTTCATTCCCACCTGTACAGATAAAGCAATTAGATATTTTCACTTTTTTAAATTGTTAGATTATACAGAGTGGAGAATTGACAAACATAAAATTACCAAGTGATTGAATTTTAATATGAGTGCAATCCAAGGCTCCTAAAACTTTCGGAAATCGAGCAAAATTGAAAAATTTTATCTGTTTACGTTTTATAGCATCCGCTATTACTGGAAATTTTACATAATTCGGTCGTAGTCGAGCAATAGCAATAGTTACTCTATGTACAATTCTATGTGCACTTGTCTTACTGACACCGGAAAAATCCCCAGCTGAAATCAAATGACTTCCAGTTGCATAAAATCTCAGTGTAAGTAAAAGTTGATTCATGGGAGAATTGCTTTATTTCTGAAACATATACAAAACATAAAATTTTGCTAATAAAAAGTATAAAATAAGAATAAATTGAAATATTCGAAACTTTGTATATTACTAAAATTGATGTATACTATTCTAGAAATACTCAAGTCGATATTATTTGGACATATAACCTATAAATTCAAACGTCATTTGAATGGTGTTAAATTACAATGACTTGTAGAAATAATTAATAAAATATATATTTATTTACTGTTGTGTTCTATGTTCTAATTCAGCTCTTATTTCTGTTAACACTTCATTAACACTATTCTTTGACAATCTAAAACGAGTTTGAAAGTCAATGTCATCAAACTCTTCGAAAAAATTTCGTCGTTCTCTATAAATTTGTGGTCTTCGATCAGCATAAAAAAATTCTTCATCATCTGACGATGATAAAATATAATCTATAAGCCGTTGATTTGCCATTTTCTATTTTTTACACTTAAGTTTTAATATTATATTATATACATGATAAAACTATTATGCTTTATTACAAACTTAACCTCAACTTCAAAATAATATATATATGACGTACTGTACTATGGTGGGGAGAGATTTAACCGAGGTTTAAGAGTTAAACCTCCAACTTTGGTCGGTTAATTTCAACCTGAGATTAGCCATTTTAACCCGAGTTTAAAAAATTGTGGAACGCATGATTTTCACTAAACCAAGTTTACTGTCTTAAACTCTGGTTAAATAAAGTTGTGGAACCGGCCCTAAGTCTCTCAGAGTGAAGTTAGTAGATGATAACCATAGATTATGAATTTATGAGAGATTCTTGGTTATGTTATAGTGAAGCTTGGTTCATAGATTCATAGACCCTGTAAAATTTATCAGGGTTTTCTTAATAATTTAACCTTAAATTAATTAATTATAAATTTAATTCAAATTCAGCAAAACTTGAATTTTATTTGAATCTAACCTCCAAAACATCTATGAACCAAGCTTTACTATAACATAACTCAAGCATTAATTTAAGTGAGGATTTACCTCACAATGTCTATTACAATGTCACAATTTACAATAAATAGTAATAATTATACTATTTTCGATGAAAAATTACTACTTTCAAGTAGTAATTTTGAAACTGCTCAAGAAATAGTAACTTTTGCTTCGTTTTCAAACGATTTTTACTTTCCCAGTACAAAAAAAAGTATTGAGTGGAGCGTTTAGGAATTGAGTGAAGCTCTGAGCCAATGCGGATTCGAGTAAAAACCGTATTGGGTCGTTTGACTCAATCTTTTTTTCATCCGCCGAATACGGTCTTATTTTAGCATTAAAATTAAAATCACATGAGCAGAGTACACATTATAAATTGAAAGCACAATTGTCCGGGAATGTAAAAATGCCGATTTCGATAAGAAACAGTGAATATTTGTTAAAAATTGGTAAAAGCAAAGTCCATTTAAACTTACCACTTCATTTATTCACATGGTAAATTCAGTCGCGCTTGTCAAACTTTGCTTTTACCAATTTTTAACAAATATTCACTGTTTCTTATCGAAATCGGCATTTTTACATTCCAGGACAATTGTGCTTTCAATTTATAATGTGTACTCTGCTCATGTGATTTTAATTTTAATGCTAAAATAAGACCGTATTCGGCGGATGAAAAAAAGATTGAGTCAAACGTCCCAATACGGTTTTTACTCGAATCCGTATTGGCTCAGAGCTTCACTCAATTCCTAAACGCTCCACTCAATACTTTTTTTTTACTGGGATTTTTAAAAAAGTATAATTTACTTCAAGGAATCTAAATTTTACTAAAGGCCGAGTATTATTTAAAATGACCCGAGCAATTAATACTCTGAGCAAAGCAACTTTTATTACCAATTCTGAGCAATTATTACTATTTCGTAAAGATTTTTACTCGGAAAAGTAGTAATCCGTATCCACACAATGACGCCCTTTCACCGATGGGTCTCTTCTTCTTCTTCTTATAAATGCGATAGTAGATCGCATGCGTTGGCTTTGTGTGGACATGATGTCCTGTACATATAGCCATGACCAAATAATGTGAATGTAGCTCTATATATCACTCGCGTATTTCGTAGAGTTCGTATCTGATTCGTATTTAATACACTTGGCGGGAATTTTTTTTAAAATTTAAATTCGTAGTTGAGTTTTTTCAAATAATTGAATAAGTATGATGATACACTTATAGATGGATTTAGTAAGAGAATTTCACTATTAAAGGGAGCAAGGTATCTGAGTAGTTTCGAAAGTTGGTGAATTAATTTTGGTCTGATATTGTTAAATCTTGGGCAGTTCCATAGTACGTGTTCTAAATCTTCGTCAATTGCAGGGTCACAAGGACATGCAGGAGATGAAACAATGTGTTTTCTATGTAAGCTTTCGTTAAGTGAATTATGATTGCTTCTCATCATGCAGATGGATACAATCCATTCTCTTTTGGCGGAAAATGAAGCAAACCAGGGTTTTCTTCGAGGTTGATAGTATTTTTCGGTATAGTAAACTCTAAATGATTGTCTTCTAGTTATATAGTATTCATGACATTTTCTGTAGAGAGTCTCTCGAAACACAGAAGTAAGATCTGTATGTGGTATTCCAATATTCAGCATGGGACCATTAATCGATGCTAGTTTTGCAGCTTTATCTGCAGTTTCATTCCCTTCTAAGCCTAAGTGCCCAGGTATCCAAATTAAAGAAATGTCATAGTCTAAGGACGATAATACAGATAATCTATTTCTAATTAGAAATATGATGTATGAATTAATATTGGATGGATTGGGTGATGAGACACTCGTCAACACACTTAAAGAATCGGAAAATATAGCGACTTTATTTAAGCTATTGTTTATGATATGATCAAGAGTCAGAAATATAGAGAAAGCTTCTATTGAGAAAATGGAAGCAGTACAATCCAATTTCCACGATAGAGAGAGATTAGTTGAAGGACAAATTGAGGCGCATCCCGCTCTTTTTAGGTTTTCCGTTTTGGAGCCGTCAGTATAAAAACATAAATGATTGTTAAATTTATTGTTTAATATGTCTCGGAATAATAGTGGATGATCAATTGATTTTTGAATCTCATGTCCTATGTCAGTGATTACTTTTGGAAAGAATAAGTGGTCACAATAGGGAAGTTCGTAATATGGAAGAATCGTAGACTTTTTAATTAATCGTTGAAATATGGTGACTGATTGGAAAGCCGATAAGAGAGTGAAAGAGTTCAAAACATTGTAGGGATTTTTAGGGGAGGCCAATCTTAGAAGTTCTGTTAATTTGTTATAGAGTGGATGATTCAGAATTGATGATATTTTTATCAAATATTTCTTTGTTAGGAAGTAAAATCTAATTTTGAGTAAAGGTTCGCAAGATTCTGCCAACATAACGTTAATTGGGGTGCTCATTCTATATCCAAGGGCTAATCTGATAGCGCTATTTCTCAATTTAGCAAGTTTATCAAATAGCTTATGGTTTTTAAAACAATAAATGTGAGATCCATATTCAATGCAACTTCTAATAAGTGATCTATACACTGTGAGAAGAATATACGGGTGGGCACCCCACCATGTTCCTCTCAAAGCCTTAATTATATTTAAGACTTTATTTAGTCGTTCTAGAAGGTATGCGAAGTGATTATCGAAGGTAAGACTATAATCTAGTATTATGCCTAGAAACTTTGCATGAGTGGAAGGAAAGATGTTGGCATTATTTAATTTTAGAGCAAGATTAGGGTTTTCAAAATCAATTTGAAGTCTGTTGAATAGGATAAGTTTGGTTTTTTCTGGACAAATCTCCAATCCTCTATCGGATAAAAACGTAGAAAGATTATTAAGGCAAAGTTGGAAAGATGTAATACATTGGATTGGGTCATTGGATTTTGTGAGTATTGCAATGTCATCGGCAAATTCGATTATTATACAGTCATGTAGGAAGAATGTAAGTCAGTAGGAATCATGTATCATGTAATCATCATGTATCATGTAAGTCAGTAGGAAGAATTTCGTGGATTTTTCGCGTGTAAACGGAATATAAAATTGGACTCAGTGTACAACCCTGCGGTAAACCCACAGTGCTGATCCTGGGCCCAATCATCTCCCCGTTCACATTGAAGAAAAGTTTTTTGCAAGCTGTAGCGTTGTATATAAATTTGGATATGGATGAAGGAACTTCTATATCTTTAAGATCCTGCATTAAAATATTAGGAACAACACTAGGGAAAGCTCCTTTCAGATCTAAGAATAGACCTGCAGTAACCTCCCTCTCCACAAATCCGGTCCATATTTTGGTAGTAATTAGAGATAAATTATCTGCGCAAGACTTTCCTTTGCGGAAACCAAATTGAGTGAGAGACAGAATCGAGTTATGTTCCAAATACCAACTAAGTCTATTATAAATCAATTTTTTGACCAATTTAAACATACATGAAGCGAGAGCAATAGGTCTGAAAGAGCCACTATTTGATTTGGGAATAAAAAATATTAAGAATTCGTTCCATGATGAGGGAAGGGAAGCAAATGAAATGATTTGATTGAAAATGTTCAAAAGAATTAATCTCGCTTCTGTTGGAAGTTTTTGAATAATCAAATTATTAATTTTATCCAAACCTGGTGATGTTTTAATTTTTAAAGATGAAATAGCAATGTTTAGTTCTGTAGATGTGAAGTTTGATTCCAAAAATTGGTTTTGATGAAAATTGGTTGGAAAGGAGTCGAAGAAGGTAGTAGGAGGACACATATCGTCCACTAAATCATTCAACTTTGCCATAGTCTCGGAGTCCGAGGAGAAAGATGATGTGGCAGGTTGCGTAAATCTATTTTTGAATATTTTAACCGTTTTCTAGACTTTAGTGATCGGGGTGTTTCTGTTTAAGCCATTACAGAATTCATGAAAAAAATTCCTTCTGGCTTCATTTAAAGTGCGGTTTGTTTTAGCTTCAGTTCTTTTATACCTTGTATAATTTTCGTAATTTGCCTGTTTTTTAAAAACTTTTAAGCCCTCTCGTCTGTTTTGAATAGCCCTATCGCAATCATTGTTTCACCATGGAGCTGGAACCAATGGTTTATTGTTTTTAGGGCTTTGTGAAGTATTAGTTTGAATGGGAGTTGGAGAAGCAGCAGAAATCGCGTCATCAATACATTATGTGAAAATATTATATTTTTGGATAGAATCAGTCTCATCTGAATGAAATAAATTAAGATTAGAATTAAGGTAGTTTTTCAAGTTTGTATCAAATAGAATCCAGTCGGTTTTTTTAAAATTATATTTATGAGAGGAGAATTCAGAGATAGGGACTTGTGCTCTAAGATGTGTGACTACTGGAAAGTGATCACTTCCCAGAGAGTCTTTCTAAACACGATGTGAAGTAAAGGTGAAGAGATTTGAACTGACGAAAGAGAGATCTAGAATAGATGTATTTTCATGAGGTCTGTTAATAAATGTGGGTTCTCCATTGTTTAAACAGATAAGATCT